CGCAGTCTGAATGTCTCACGGGTGGCCAAGCGCTCCTGGGGATTAAGTTTGACCTTTGGAAACAGTAGAACAGAGTTAGAGTCAGACTGAGTGCAGAAAAGGGGGGTCCAGCAGGATGGTGCCGAGTCCGAGGGAACGAGGCAGAGCAAGGGAGTGGCAGCTTCAGATTTACCCGCAGGACCCCAATGGGCTCTGAACTCAGTGGAAGGGGTAGGGTCCCCCACACTGGCTCAGGCAGTGCTGGCCACAGAGGAGTGACTGAGGGTGGGGTCTTACAGCACTGCGAGGGTCAACACTGAAATATGGCTATGGCTCTTCCACAGCTAAAGCTGAGGCTTTCATGCCTCCTCCGCCTGGCTTGGTCCCCCCGCTTCCTGCACCCCTCCGGAGTCTTCCAAAAGCTGCACTTCTTCCTAAGAAGGAAGCTTCCACTGAGAGGGAGCCCTCAGGAAAGTTGCAATTCTCAGCCCCAAATGTTTTCTACCTCAGGCTTCAGCTTTGGCTTAAATACTCTATTTCCTCCTTCCTCCCCACCTCTACTCACCCAGCAGCGGCCATGTCCCGCGCCAGTATTGTCAGTAAGTAAATCAGCCTGGCTGTGGTGCTGCTAGGGACAATCCCTGCTGAGAGGCACGTGCTGGACTCATCTCCTGGCGAATCCCCACCTCCCTGCATGAGCAGAGCCCTCCGGCCACCCCCGCGAGGGGCTGCTGGCCGCCCTTTTGCCAGCAGGTCCTCAACCAAAGCCCAGACTGCAGGGGCCACTGTGCACTGCACAGCCCAGGAGACAAGCCCAAGGGATCTGATCAGTGGCTTCCCTGGGCGGAAGAGGGACCAGGTGTTCTCAGAGAGGCCAACACGGTCGTATGCATCCTTCCTTCTCCGTTCTACAAGAGAGTGACCCCACAAGATCCCTGGCGGGAAGGAGGGCGAGGCAGCTTGGCTTTTGGAGCCTGAGAAGCAGGCGAGGCAAGATGGGAGTTGCTGAGCTGCCCACGTGGCCGGAGGTGGGGGCGCAGAGCACGAAGAGAATGCAAGACGTGTTCTCAGTGGGCCTCTTCCCTGAGTTTGGTATTTGAGTTGAGGTCTTGCCTGATTTCCACTCAAAACGAGAAAAGAATACCTCTCACTGACACCTCATTAAGCTCCAGCTGCAAGAAGGTGGCATCTGGCCGGGGAGGTGGTCGAAGGTTCTAAGCTCTATTCCCACCGAGCCCCACAGGCACTCAGAGCGGCGAGCCGGGAGCCGCCCCCGACGGCCCTCCTCCCCACAGGCGCCGCCTGCTGAGACCCCAGTTCCGGCCCCAAAACACTCAGGTAAGGGCCTTCCTGCAACATACTTCAGCAAGCAGCTTTACAGTATTTGTACATTTACACAAAAATAGATCCTTTTATATATATATATATATATATATATGTATGTATATATATATATGTATGTGTGTATGTATGTATTTATAACTGGTTACACGTTGGATTTGTAATCAGGCATCACCAGTGGTAGTAGTTGGCACAGTGTGTCATTTAAGCTTAGGGTCAAGTTCTCTTTCATTTCGACCCAAAGGACAAAAAAACAAACAAAAAAAAAAACAGGAGTATCATCTCCACGGTGTTTTCTTAAATATAGCGACGTCATAGGAAACCACATGTACAGACGCGATGGACACCGCCTCCTGACCCCTCCTCCTGTCCGCCGCGGGGGCCGGGGTCTGAGGGAGACAGGCGTCAGTGGGGCCTGCTGCTAGACTCCGAGGGCCGCCTCTGGCGGGACGGCGTGTAGCCGTTGAGATAGCCGTTGGTCTGCCGCTTGGAGAGCCCTCCGTTCAGGATGTCCTGGATGTGCTGCACAATGAGGTTGATGGCCACTGTGGGGCAGAGACGGCACAGCGTCAGCGACACGGGCAGGGTGGGGCACAGGCGCAGGGCCGGAGGGGCACACAGGGCCTGGAGGCACTCGGCCGTTCAGGTAACTGCTTCTGCCACCTGCTGGCAGGTCACTCAACCTCCCCAAGCCCCCAGGGGGCCGGTATGGCCTCCCTCGCAGGAGAACTCGAGCAAGCGAACGATGCTGGGAAATGGCAGGCCTGAACACAGGGGCTTCTCATCAGATGATCAGAGTCACTCCTACATGAAGCCATCAGCGACCGTATGCAAGGCCCTCTCCCCCAAAGGAAACATAAGATGGGACTCTTTTTGTAGCATGAGAAATAAATTGCACACCTCCAGCAACTGACTGATGTGAACGTCACCCCAAATGCAATCAACACTGAGCACAGCAATAAAGGAGGGCACAGCATCTCTTTGCTGGCTGGCATTCTCCAGATTTTATAAACCGACCCAACCATAAGGAAAGGCACAGACCACTGAGGGCCATTCTGCAAATGACGGGCCTGTACTCCTCAGAAATGCCAAAGGAGAAGGCATCGGTATTACACTTCCTGAATGTGATGATGGCGCTGGGGCTGGGAATGAAAATGTCCTTGTCTTTTAAGAAATGTACAGTGAAATATTCATCATGGAGACTGACTCTGAAGTGGCTCAGCAAAAAACTTCTTAAATAGAAGAAAATTGAAATGAATTAGAAAGAAAATGAGAAGACAGGGTCTTCTCACAGCTGATCTTGCCCCACTCTGCCTACGTCCAGGTAGTCAGACCTCCCTAGACAAGCTGAAACGAATAAATAAATGCACAAGTGGTAGCAGCCAGCTTCCTTTATTTTAGGAAGGGCTATCCTGGCAGCAGGCCATTTTCAAAGAAATTAAGAAGGAAATGCCCTTCTGCTAAAAGGTGGCCTCAGATACAAGGTATCTACCTGCCATCACCGGGTTGACAGCAGGAGGTAGTGTCTCCAGGCCTCTGATGTCTGCCTGAGATGCACGTTTGCACCTGGCTCACGAAAGCCGACTAGAGGTTCAGCCACATCTGGTCACCACATCCCAAAGTATGACTGACCCTGGGCAGAAGCTATGCCCCTGAAGGGGCCACCCCACCAGGACTCACTCACCTAGATTATCTGCACCTCTTGGAATGATCACATCAGCGTATTTCTTTGTCTGTGGAGAGAGACACACAGTGCATGAGAGAGGAGCTCAGAGAGATGCTGGCCCAAACCCCTCTCTGAGGAGACGCCGGCCTTTCCACTACTGATGCCCGACAGTGGCAGCCTGAGGTTTCAAACACAGTATTTTTTATCCCCTTTATCAAATTATACTAAGTCAGCTTTTTTTTTGAGTTCTCATGATTATACTTGGCATTATTTAAGCTTACGTCCTGATCAGAGAATACGGTCTTTGAAGCCAAATATATTAATTGCCTCTTTCCCCCACTAGGAAAAATATTCAGAACCCAAATTTAAAACGGAGAGCAAATCACCTTGGACTTCTACACGCAGTCTGAATGGTGACCCACTCCTAGCATTAAGGTAAGCCCAGAAAAAGAATGGCCTTTGATGACCATTTTCATTGGCTTTGCTTTCACATTTTTTTAAAAAAGGGCTACAATTAGATATGCTCCTTTTTTTTTTTCTTTTTGAATTTACTGAGATTTTTGTGGACCATTTTACAAAGAACTGTGCCTGGTGTATAACCCAAGTCTAGGGTAAGGCCACATAAACAATGCCTTCAGAACGTGGGCCTCCACTCTGTGCAACGTTCACACTGGAACTGTTCACACGCAGCTGTGACAGCCCCACCCTCCTTGAGCCAGGCAGGTGGTCTATCAGGTCTGAGCTCGTGGTTTTCAGGGACGTGAGGCTCCCGGAGGACAGAGCAGCTGGACGGCGGGAACAGGTGGAAACAACCAGGAAATGTTTGAGGGGAATTTTGAGCTCCATTCCAACTAAGTTAATCAGCAGAAAACTGGCAGTTAATGCCGATTTACTTCCAATAGTAAGTTTACTTTGTCTTCTCATTTAAGAAGAGCAGGAGAGGTCTGAGGATGGATGCAAGGATGGGACTTCCTGGCTCCTCAGCTCCCTCTGCCCTCTGCCCAGAAACCTAAGCCTGGAACCCGATCTTCTCCAGGGCAACCAATAGGATGTCAAGGTGACTCAGGCTCAAGGTCACTTTGTTCCACCTGTCCCCAGTCTGAAACAAAAGGCAAGCATGGTGTGACGCCAAACTTACTAACAGACTTAAAGAAACAAAGGTGGTTTGGGGTCGTATTTTCCCAAGAGAGGAGAAAGAAAGAAGTTACTTAGAGAAGCAGAGAAATGTCTACCCTCAGCCTCCCTCTACAGCTCTTCTCAATTCTCTCAGATTTCAGCCTCCCAAAAGATAATCACACAGATGCCAATCTCTCCCTCTTTCTCTGCAAGCTGAGTCATGAAATCACTGGGGAATTAGACGGTGGTGTGGCCAACCTGCAGAAGGCTCAGGACACACATGCAGGGATCTTCTGTGTTAAAAAGTCCTTCCAAAACCAGGCTGTGTCCTGCACCTTCCTTTCCACCACGCCACTCCTCTTGTCCCGGCAGCCTCCCCTCAACATTCACTTCTTCCCCAGGAAGCTGAGAGTTTCCTGGGCTGAGGGCTGACTTGCTAAAAGCCGAGAATTCCCCGCTCCCCAGTCTTCCTTCTCCAAGAACCACCTCACTAGCAAGTTCCCAGCTGCCACGTGGTGGACAGGTGAATGTATGCCAGGGTGGAAGCATGAAAGCTTATTCCAGCTTGGCTCCACATGTCCCAAATGGGAATCCAGGCAGGAATCCGGCTCAAGTCAGAGCTCAGATGCAATGGCAGAAGCGATTCTGAAGGGAACCCTCGTGGCTGAGGCCTGTATCGACACTCCCACCACCACGGAGCTTCTAAAGACCCAAATGACCAAGTCTATCAACCCTCAGTAAAGGGCCTCCCACCAGGAGCCCACCAAACAGGGAGCGCAGGGTGCTGGGACTACCCAGAAGGGCCCTCAAGGTCCACCGCTAAAAGGCACGGCAGGCGAGGGCTCCCCGGACACAGCGGTGGGACACAGGCCTCCAGGCCGCCCTCCCTCCGGACCTGAGGACAGAGGACCACTCAGAGAGAAGAGGGCCTCCAAGCCAGGAGTGCCATCAACTTACACACCTTTATTTATACAACTAAAAATTTAAATTCTAGATTCAACAGAAAACAAACCAAGAACACAACTCACTGGCAAGCAGAATTCCTCAAAGGCGGGTTTGACGAACGTTATGTACTGAGATAAAATCTGTTCGAGGTCCCTCCCTCTCTCGCTGATGTCCCTTAATACTACAAGAGAGGAAAAAACACGAATCAGGACAACGCTGCGCGGGCCGTTCCTCCCCACGCAGGTTCCACGATCACCCGCAAGGTTCCTAGAGACCTGGCGGAGGCAAGGTCAGCGGCAACTTCGGGAACACGAGTTACACTTTTATGTCTTGGCCACCGTCAGATTCGGCCACGACAAAAGGTTCTCTGAAGCCCAAAGCTGCCCAGCCTAGGCCGATAGTCATCTTGCTTCAAGTGCATTTGACCCAAATAAAATTCCAGTGTAAACAAGAAAGCAGGTCTGTCCCAGAGAGCTCCTAGCAGGAAGCAGGCGGGGCCCAGAAAGGGGCGGGGCTTCTTGACAAAGGGGGTAGGTGGCTAAAAGGCTTCTCCTTTGCTCACCTCGATCCCGCCCCCTCTCACTTACCTGTGCGCCGTCAGTGACCCGCTGCTGACATGCCACCTCGTGCCCAGCCCCAATCACCCTCCAGCCCCGTAGGGTGGAAGGCAGGCAGAGGCTCTGGCTGTGTTCAGCCCCGACTCTTACCTCAACCACAGAGGTTTGCAGACCGAAAACCAGATAGTAAAAGAGGGGGAAACCACGGTTTAGAAAACAAACGGTTGGCTGAAGCTGTGAACAGCCCAGACTGACCCAATCTCACCATCTTCTACCTACTTCTTCCTAAGCAGTGTTATTCAGGGACTTTCACCAAAAACCTTTTATAATAGAGTCTTTTGTCAGAAAATTAAAAAGGGTCTGACTATATGTGGCTAGAATCCTGGCTCTGCCAATGTGTACTGACCGACCTGAACCTTGCCCCCAAACTCAGTAGTGAGCTTAGAAGGAGATTCTCTCCATCAAAGCAGCCCCTTCCTACAGATGGTGTTTTAAGTCTGTTAAACCTTTCACCCCCCTCCAGAAAGGTATTATATCCATCTACAGTGGCCCCTGGGCTTTTCAACACCATTTCTCAGGTTACAGACCCACGCATGGGCTGGAACTCACTATAAACAAACACAGGGAATGCTTGTAAGTGGATTTCTGGAAAGCCGTGTGTCTAAATAATCTGTGTTCACACACATGCATGCACACGGGCGTGCACACATGCCAGCAGGTGCAAGAAAGAGGGAGAGTTTCATGGTTATGAGTCAGGCTGGCATGAAGTCCAAAGATCAGATCATTAGAAAACTGTCTGAAAGACCACACTCCAGAAGGTCAAGTAATACCGCTATTGCCACCTGGCTTTGCTACCAGCTCCTCTATTTACATGTGTTTCCACATGAGCCCTGGTATCGAATAGCTGGTGGGTCCCTAATGTGTCAGGACTTACTCCCCACCTCCCCACTGCCTGCCTGGACCAGCAGAAGTGCCCGTCTAGCAGGGAAACGGTTTTCTTGGGCATTCTGACATGGCCCGGCAGCTCTGCCAGGCAGACCCAGCCACCAAGGAGCCACAACGCTGCCACGTGGCTCCCCCAGAGCTCTGGCACTAGGGCTGGTGCTCTCACTGTGGCCCCACCACACACACATATGGCCAGTGTGGCCTCCAATCCTCCACAGGTCTCCAGATAAAGTGCCAACAGGAACGAAGCCAGATCAAAAGGGCGCCAGAGTGGGGAAAACACCCCACCCCCTGCCTGCACTCCAGTAGCTTTTATTCAGAAGCCCTGCAAAAGCTGGGTGCCAGCTTTGTTTCCCAAGAAATGCTTTCACACGGCCACTACTGGCACGGCGGGAGCCCGCTCCTGCCCCAGCACACACTCGTGTGCACGCTCCTCCACGTGGCTCTCTGCCGCCCTCAGGCCTGCGGCTCCCTCCTACCCAGTCCCATCACGGCACCTGAGCCAGGACAGGGCCAGGCAGATGGCGGTGGGGCAGGGGAGTCCCTGAGGCTGTTCCCTGAAGCTGCTTCCTGCTCCACCACCGGGCGCAATGGGGCCAAGACTGGGCTGGATTCGAATCCTGCCCCACTAACTGCTTACTACCTCTGTGACCTCAGACAGGTGCTCAACCTCTTTGAATCTCATTTTCCTTAACTGTAAAATGGTAAAATGGAGGCAGTAACCGGGAGCACCTTTCTCGTAAAGTGGTTACTTGGGTACAGGGAGATGTACACAAAACTCTTGAGCATGTGGCTGGCACACAGCACGTGTCAACAGACCCGAGTTTCTGTGATTCACGTCAACGAGAGGCTTCAGCAGAGGGTGGCTCCCTGACGGAGCAGACCCCTGGGAGGGGGGAGCGCTGACCCCAGGCAGGCGGGCCGGAGCCTGCGGAGAGCAGAGAGTCCTGCCAGCGGCTGGAGGCGGGGGCGGGAGGGGCTGGCGGGCCACAAACACGTGGGCAGGGGGGAGGGAGAACCAGGGAAGACAGGGAGGAGCCGTCCTAGACTTCCCATCTGGAAAAGCAAAAAGGAACAATGTCCGGACACTGGGGACAGCAAAGCCCAAGGCACTGACCTCCTCTGCTCCCCCCAAAGCTTTCCACCGAGCTATCACCTTGAGCAGACGGGGACCCCTCCCTGAGCTGAGGACAGAGTGAGAACAAGGTCTTGGCACAGACTGGAAACTCCAGGGACCCAAACAGGCCTCTGACCATCACGCAGACATGGGCACATCTGCTCACCCTTGACGGGCCCTTTCCAAGGCAGGACAAGAACAGGAAACCACGGGTCTGCCCACCTGCCCTGCTTGGCCCCCACCTGCGCCCGTACAGACCCACAAGCAGTCCTTTCCAATGCCAGGGACAAAATTTAGAAGGACCCAGAGTAAAAGTTAATCCACTTAAAACTTAGCTAAGGAAACGTGCTCCTCTAGTAGAGAACAGATTGCCTATCTCAAGGCCACTTGAGCCTAATTCTATGTGAACCAGACACAGAGAATTATGGCAGGGGAGGGACAAGGTGGGAGCAGCCCTTGGTCCCCCACATGGGCTCTTTCCTGTCCCCGAATTGAAGGGTGGCTTAGGGTAAACCACACACACGGGGGAAGGGGGGAGGCAAGCACGCGTGGAAGGAACCCACCGCCTAGAGACGATCCCTAGAAGCTCACAGGGGTCCTGTGGGAAGCAGGCAAGTCCTTGCAAGGCTGCGTGACTCAAAGGCAGATCCCATTCCACAAGGGTCAACCTGGCAGGCGAGGGCCCTGCACCCAGGAGGGCATGACACACAGTGGTCAATGGGGCTAATGCACGTCTCCGGGAATGTCCTCGCGGCCGGCGGCGGCGCCTGCTCACCCACGCTCTCCCCTGGCACAGCCCTCCCGTCCCGCAGAGCACATGCCAGGCATGGTTTCTGTCCTACGTGGACAGACGATAAATCTGTAGAAATAGCCCGTGGAGAAGTCCCCAAGTCCAGCAGGAAAGTGACTGTCAGGGGCTCACACGAACGAACAGCCAATCTGAAAGGAGAAGGCCGCAGCCTGACCTGGGGGCAGGGGCTGCAGGGTCGACCCCAGAAACCCCAGCGGGGGCTGCGACCACTGCAGGTCTGCTTCCCGTTCCATCTAAGAACCCCACCGCGAGGGAGGGCGGGCGGATGTTCTGTTTGGACCGGACCACAACCATCCGTTTGGATGAGAAGCCAAGAATCATTTGATTTCCTAGGATGCTGCCAATACACAGACCCGTTCCAGTTTCCTCTGTGATGCCTGGCGCTTCCTGCGCCGCTGAGCACAGCGGCCTCCTCCAGGACGTTAGTGCCCCCGACGGACGCGTGATGGTATCGGCCCCTGACGGGGTCGCTGTGCAGAGGGGACCCACTCGGAGGTTCTGACCGGTCTTGACAGAAAACCCACATATACCACTCCGGGTGAAGCCGATTTCTGATCCACACCATCAATACTTACTGACTGACATACCACCAGGCACTTTACCTGCATTACCTGATTGTCACAACTGTCAGGAGCCCTTAGGCATTAGATGATTAACCCATGGGAAAATGAGGTACGAAGATGTTAAAATGCAATTTGCTGAGGCCACACGTGCAGGAATGGCAAAGCCAGGATTTAAGTCCAGTTCATGCGACTCTGAAGTCTTCCCCACGGTGCATGCCAGCGTCTCCCTAATCAGGCTAATATGACCATCGGGCTGACGGCAGGACCCGGGTCTGGGGATTAAGGTAAAAAGCCAGCACCCGCCCCCACCACCCTGCCTCTGGCAGATGCCTGAGGAATTGTCAGGCCCAGGCCTTGGCCACCTACCAAAAGACCACCGAACTCCTACCTGGCCAGAGTCACAATCCTAAAGACAGGCATGTCTCCCTCTTGTTCCCGTAAGGAGACCCAAGCGTGGCAGGTCACAGGAGCCCAAGTCACACAGCAGGCTGGTGGCACTGCCGGGACCCAAACACAGGGCTCCAGTCTCTCCCTTCCTTTTTCCCGTGACTGTACCGCCCCCTCCCGACCCCACGTGGGAGCCGAGGCGTGGCCCCAGCTGGCTCAAGAGAGAGTGTGGGTCCTCTTACCATCTGGGAGGGTACAGCCCGGGGGCTGCTGCTCTGTATTCTGCTGGTTCCATTTCCAGCTCTTGCAGTAAGCACTGAAGCGGAAAAACTACACATCTGTCTCATGAACTGAGAAAACGTCACAGACTTTGAGATCAGAGGACTCTGGGCCACAGCCTAGAAAATCCAAACCTGCCCATGACGTGCTGTGTGAGCAGGAGCAAAACCTGTCATTTCTGCGTCACGATGGAGATGCACGCCCGGCCACCTGTCCCTCCTTTCTTCGCCCACACCCCACTGCTCCGCTGGGTCCTGGCAGTTCTCACTAGGCTAGCGCCTTCGCACTCCCACACCCCAAGCTCTCCTTCCCGCTCCAACCGTGATGGATGACAGTCCTGCCTGGAGTCCCGTCCCAAGCAGCTGCCAGGCTGTAGTCCACATTTACATTTGGTCCGTCAGAATCTCTTCCAACACAGAGCCCAGGCCACCTCACTTGGGAGCTCTCCCCCGCCTAGCAGGCAACATCAGAAGCCACAGTCCCCACAAGATGCCCATGCTACTCTGTCTTCGTATGGTTGTCCAAGGGCTTCAGTCATCTGCTCCCCAGAAAAAGCCACGTGTGTCCATGTTTGCACTGTGTACCCTCTGGGGCTGCCTATATCATCACCCTGACCACATTAAGTCCCACCTCCTTCCTTTATGAAGCCTCATGACCCCGCTAACGGAAGCAAGCTCCCTGCTCAGTGTCCTACAGGGCTGCGCCCACATGCCAGCGCCCCAGCCACTGAGCAGCTCTGCGTCCGCAGTGCACCGGGCACAGGGCCTTAGAGGCACACACACACCATGGCCTGCACAGACAACCACCGACTTTGCTGGGGAGCTGGCTGGATGCAGTGACAAAATCTCTGTAAGCTTTCTGGAAAATAAAAGGGCTAGGGAAGCAGGCTGGCAGGATGAACTGCCCAGCGCACAAGCACAGGGCGTTCCCACCCCAGATTCCTACAGGTAGCTCCCACCTTGACAGTGATACCTGTGGGAAACAGCATTTAACCAAACTTCTTTCCAGTGAAACCAGATGTAACTTCTTATTCCGTGTCTGTGATCTCACAAGCCTTTCTCTCCAAAACAGCTAAGAGACTAATCTCTTCTCAAATGTCACCAAACAGTTGGGCAGCAGGGGCATTAAGCTGGGCTCAGCCATGTGCCGCAGGGAAAGCACAGGCTCCAGACTCAGGGCAGGCAGGGGCCTGCCACGAGCCACCGACAGGGCCACGGGGCTCTCGAACATACCTCTGCGGGAGAGCCGGGTGTCCGCATCCGTGTCCACAAAAAGCTTCATCCGGAACAGGTCTCGCACCTTCTGGGAGTAGAAGGCCAGGATCCCCTCGAAGAGCACCACGTCCGCGGGGTAGACGGTGACAGTCTCCTCCTTCCTGTGAAGCAGGGGGCACAGGACAGCCGGGTCAGGCCAGGGAACGGGGGGAGAGGGAGCAAGAGCTTGTCTCGGGGGCGGGGGGTCCCTGCCTCAGACCGACAGCAGGTCGGAAAGGGGCCAACGACTCACACGCCTTACAGCGCCCTCAGGCCAGCAGCCAGGACCCACGAGGGCCACTGCGGCCGGGGCAAAGGTCGGCTTTGACCACGGTTTCCGGGCTTTTGCCACGAAGCAGAAACAGAGGGCAGACGCTGCTCTCCTTGGAATAAAAAACTGCTGGTGACTGAAGCATAAAGACAGAAAAGGGCAGGAAGAAAAGAATTTCTTCTTTTCTCCAAAGGCGTCTCTAGGAATTCTCTCATGCCTGCCATTCACGGACCCTAACAGTGAACTTTCAAGAACAGAAACTCAGTTTTCTCCCACCAAATCCAACCCCTCCCACCCCCCAAATCCTGAGGCAACTGAAAGGAGTGAGGAAAAAGAGAAAGCTTCAGAAAAACGGACAGAGGGGAGAAGACATCCACGTGTGCTTTGGCCCTACCCCAAGTCGGCTCGGCGGCCGTGGGCCGGCAGCCAGGCTCCCAGAGGGCCTCCTCCTCTTACACGGAGTAGGGCCGGATGCGCCTCAGCTACCGCACAGGGTTGGGAAGCCCAAGGCAGGTTTCCTATAAACACAACTTTTCAAAAGCCGGAGGTGAAGCCCTGCCACGCGACAAAGAACCTCCCGGTCCAGGCCCAGCTCTGCCTGCACGGAATTCACTCTCAACCTTCAGTTCTGTCCTGAAACCACCTGCACGCGTCGCCTACTGTCTCCTGCTGCAGACTCACTATGGTCCCTGCAGCGCTTGCTATACCCCCTGACTAGCAGGCCAGCAAGGTTTGTGACCAAATGAAACAAAATTTTTTTTAAAGTTCCTTAAGACACCAGGTTTACCTGCAACACAGAGGATGCCACCTACAGAGGCTGCCACTCCAACTCCCTCCCGTAAACACTCCCTGACTCGTCATCAGCGCAGACCCTGGGGTTCCTGCCCAAATTCTAAGGCTGGCGCTGTTGGAGCAACTACAGAGGTGGCAGGATACAGGGCGGCAAAGGGCCAGGTCAATACGTTTGGGAGACTCCCCAGAACAGTGGTCTGACTCCAGATGCACAGAATCACCTGGGGAGCTTCTAAAAAATATTTATACCTGGACGCTAACCTGCTGGGGCTCTGACTTCATTAGTCTGGGTGGGGATAGAGGACTGACAATTTTTAAAAGTTCCCCAGGTATTCCAAATGTACAACGAGGCTTCACACCAGTCTGGAGGAATGTCAGCCACCAGCAACAGGGTGCATCATGCTTTAGGATGAGGAACCACGCCAGGAAGAGTTCCGAAGGAAAATGGATTTAAAAAGGATCAATGAGTGAGTGAAGTGATGAGCCACTCTAGGCACCTGCCCTGGGCTGGGCCGAGGAGAGGATGGACCGGCTCTGCTGGGAACTGAAGGAAAGCGTGTGTGCAGGGAGCCTGTGCGTGGGGAGCGTGTGCGTGAGGAACGTGTGTGTGGGGAGCGTGTGTGCGGGGAGGATATGTGCGGGGAGCGTGTGCGTGGGGAACGTGTGTGGGGAGCGTGTGCGCGGGGAGCGTGTGCGTGGGGAGCGTGTGCGTGGGGAACGTGTGCGTGGGGAGCGTGTGCGTGGGGAACGTGTGCGTGGGGAGCGTGTGCGCGGGGAGTGTGTGTGCGGGGAGCGTGTGCGTGGGGAGCGTGTGCGTGGGGAATGTGTGTGCGGGGAGCATGTGCGTGGGGAGCGTGTGCGTGGGATCCCTAGGGCTCCATTAGGAAAAGCACAGCCAACAGAGAGGGACGGCCGGTTCGCCTACTGACGCAGCGTCAGGTGCAGGTCGGGACGCCTAACCGATAAACATTAACAAGAACGGGTGGTTTTCCAATTCTGCCTCTGCGATCCTGGGGAAGTAAGAGCATAGCTGCCGGCTTTGCTGTTGGTACCCCAGGACGTTGGAATCAATCATTTCCCAAGTCCACATGGAGCTGTAGGTGGGAGAATCCTTCAGAAAAGCTCAGAGCTGAAAACAACACTCACGGAGCAACTATTAGCCCAGGATCACGAGATGCCCCACTTGGGGCAATATTCCAGTTACAGTTTAGCGTCCGGCTGGGACGTCCACATGAGAAACGCTGACTATTGGAGCACGTGTGATAACCCAGCCCAGCCCCACGAGGAGGGCCAGACCAGGGAAAGGGTACACACAGCGAATGGTGGTCCCCTCTGAGCCCACCATTTGTCTGTGCATCACCACAGAAGGCCCACGGATGGGGTGAGCAGCCGGGTCCCCCACAAGCAGCTCTGGAGAGCGGGGGCCACGGCCATAGTCTGGGCATCCGGAAACATTTCTGGATGCATGGGTGTGGGCCGCTCAAGATCAGGGTTTTAAAATATAAGGGATGAAAGGCATCAGGAGAAAGAAGTAACTGTGCGGACGGGGAACCCTACTGGGTTCCTCTGTCTTGCATGAACCTGACAGAGCGCGTGTGCATGAGCGGCTGACTTTCCCTCTGCCGCCCCATGTCACCAGCCAGGCCGACTCCCAACCACCTCGCGGGCCTTATCCCAGCTGCCGCGGTAGCTCACGTGGGCCGCCACCCCAAGGGCCTCGTGGACAGCGGCCTGCGCCCTCTCTTCCCACCACAGGGTCTTTCCCCTCCTGCATCACCGCCACGTGTGACTAGTGCCAGCAGGTCTGTGCCCCTGCCCTTCTGGGTCTGAGGCCTGCCCCCCAGCCTCCTACCCTGCTGCTCCTCCCACACACTGACCCCCATCCCTCCATACGCATGCCCCAAGTGCCTCCCTCCCTGGACCTCGGGGATCCCTCTCTCCCCGGACCTCGGGGATCCCTCTCTCCCCAGCAACTTCTAATGCTTTCCCGCATACGTGTGGATTATGCCCTAATATTATTCCCTAAATGGCATGTCCTGCACACCACCTGTTCTGAACACTCCAGCCCTGCTTCCCTCCTCCAGACCCCGCAGGCCCTTGCCTTAGTGGTCCCCAGTGGTCGTGCTGCATTTTAATTCCCTTGCAGGAATTAAAATTTTAATTTTAATTCCTTGCCTGCCCCTGAGAGGCCGTGGGCTGGACTGTCTCATCCTGCCCTCACCACCACACCTCGCCAAGGCCAGAAACTACAGTTCCCAGAATCCCTTTCACTACACGTCCCAGGTTACTTTGCCAGTGGGAAACTTGGAAGATCAATGGGAAGAAAAATCCATAATTTTTAGATCATAAAAGCCAGACAGGGAAACCTTGCAGACCCACGTTGAAGCCGTAGGCCTAGAGGTGGCAGCTGCTTGCACTTTCCACGAATCTCTCCAGTGCCTCAGGCTGTGGTCAATGGGGTCCGTTTTCCCTTATCCTCAGGCTGCAGCCTACAGATCTCCACTTTCCCAGCCCCTCAACATTCTTATATGTTCCAACTCCTCTACCAAAACCCCTTTCGGTCTGCAGTGGTGTAATGCTGGAGGCGCCTTGCTCTCCGACTCCCAGCTGAGTAGAACCTGGTCCATAGCTGGAAGGGCTTCAGAACATACTGGCGAGCCACGAAGCTGGGGCTCGGGGCAGCCTCGCCTCCCATCGCCATGTGCTCCCTCCCTCTCCTTCCTCCTCCAACCAAATCTTTGCCACACCCTCTAGTTCTGATAAAGTCAGGGCACAGAACCTGGGAGGTACACTGCCTGAAAAGCTGGCTGAGATACGTACTGAAGGAACACATGGGGAGATCCAGATTGGGTTTTAATTATAGAAACATTTGGGGGTAACAGTATGAGACCTGATTTTCTCTTAAACAAAAAACTTTCAAGAGACTGGGATAAAGGAACCAGCAAGGAAGAATGAAAGCAGGTGGGAGAAACTTCCAAAACAGCCCATAGCTAAAAACAACATTTACTGAGCAATGGCCAGCCCAGAAGCTGGAAGGAATTCCACATGATACAACACACCATGTAGGAGCTGAGGGTCGGCCCGGAAGTCCTGAGGAAGCAGGGTGAGCAGAGCTCTGTGTGGCCCCCAAGGGGCCTGGAGGTCTGGCCAGCAGGATTCCCACCCCTCAGAGGGAAGGAAGGTGAGATGGAGGGGGCATCACCTTCTGTTCCGGATCAGAGAGAAAACTGTCAAGGGAAAGGGCTGTGGGTGCGCCCGAGGAGCCCAGCCCCTGGGAGGGGTTAGTCTCTGGTGACCTCAGGGCCCTCACACCTCTCCAAGGTCCAATCCCAAGTAAACCGAGAGCAGAAACAAGTTTCTTTGTTCCTTTTCCTGCCCCTCCCCTGCCCTGGCCTTCCCCTGCCCCGCCCCCTCACATCTTATTCCAGGAACAACAGCTCAGGGATGTGGAGCAGGACACACAACTCAGTCCCTCACCCCCAAAAGTCATGAACCCGGCCTTTCGAGCTAATGAGACATGATGACCAGGCTGTTCCAGGAAGCGCCGGAGTGAACTCCCAAACCCAGGCACACCTTGCCCACAGCCCCCCACTGCCCCTGCCCCTCCACACAGGCTGCAGTAGGCACAGAGCAGGGGGGGCAGACAGAGGCCTGGAGCTCAAGAGTCGGGGTCACGATGTCCGGCCCAGAGCTCACTTACCGGGAATGGGAGACAAAGTCATACACGGGAATCTGGACTGTTTTCCCTTCCGTGATTTCTTTGAGTGTCTTGAAGATGAGTTCATTGTCAAAGGCATCTGAAAAAATTCAAATTATTAAATAATGTTTCTTGATTTTTAAAATGATTTGTCTTCGATCATGCATGTATATTTCATATATGTGTATCATACTCTAGAGAAGAATATACTTCCTTTCTACCCACAGCAGAGTGCAAACTCCCTGCGTCTCAAAACAAATGAATGGGATGCACGGGCGAGTTCCGGTACCGATTTCTCTACCTTCCTGATGAGGTACAGCGGGGAAGTGGGACCAGGGTCATGCCTTATAAAATCTACTTGGCCAGGGGAAAAGGTCGAGCTTATTCTTTAACTTGACCTTTATGCTGCTTTCCCCCTTCCTCCAGCCCCTTAATCAATAAAGTAACATTGTAACCAGGACGAGAGACAGACCTCTGGAGTGTAAACTTGACCCAAAGTGAGTAAAGAATGCTGAGATGCGGATCAACACAGGCACCTATTGTTAGAGACAAACCTTGGAAGGAATTACTAACCACCTGAATAGGTCACGCCCTATACTGACCCCTACCCAGAAGGCCCATAAAACCCAAACCCAAACCCTTAAGGGCGCCTCCTCTGAGGTCACCCACACCCTCGAGTGTGTATTATCAGTTTAAATAAAACCTGCTGGGCGCCTCCTCTCTGAGGATGCCCATAAGTGCTTTATTTTAAATTAAGCTTTCTGGTTGCTTAAGTCTATCGCACTTTGCCTCTGAATTCTTTTTCCCAACAAAGACAAGAACTTGCCAACCTCTACCACCGGTGGTAAGAGCCCTTGTCACTTTGCTGTCTCACACAACCTTCTAGTCTCTCCCACAGGTCTTTCCTCTTTCTGTTTTATTTCCGACACATGAGAAGCGGCTGCGGGCATGGAATTTCCTGCCCGAGAAGTGTTCTCTCCTTGCTTTATTTAGGAAGTTCTCAGAACACGGGCTCACTCCATCCATGCTTCGCAGCTTGCCCAATTCCAGGGCAGCAGGGACAGGGTTCTCCCGCCGTGCGAATCAGGAGGGTGCCGGACACCAGGCGGCCTGGCTTTAGGAGTTGGCAAGGGATCCGCCCTATGCCGAGCAGTTCCAGAACTGACCTGTCCTCCCTTGGCTCTTCCTTGCTCTCTGCTGCCTGTGCGACTGTGCAAATAAAGGGTCCCTTTTCCTGGCACTACGCAACTCTGACACTCGCTATGACTCTCATTTTGATGAATTCCCCTCTTACCTGCACTCACATGACCCGTTAGTTAATTCTTCCCCGGTCAGAGTCCAGGGCCCTCCCTCCCCAGACGACACTACCCCACACTCGCCCCGACATCTCTCTCCTCCGGGTTCCCTGCTGCCCCGGGAGTTGGCACCTTTAACCTGGAAAGCACACAGACAGCTGGGAGAGTGTTACAGGCACCACTGGTGGCAAGTTTGGGTTCTGATTACACAAAACCACAACCTGCTAAAGGGCAGTGAGCTGATCTGGGCCGGTCGGGCAAACCGTTCAGGTGGCCACCCTGGACCCTGCCCATGCCTGCCGGTCAGTGAGTTCCACACACTTGCCACGTGCACATGCGTGTGGGGCTGGGGGTGTGTGACACAGGCTGCTTCAGATCGGAGGAGACAGAAGAACCAGCAGTGTCTGTTCTGCCCCGGGTCTCGCTCCTCTTGTGGAAAAAGCTCGTACACAGTCACCCTTGTCCAGACACAGATGGGGTCAGTTTTTAAGCAGCCAAGCACCACATGATGTGCTTCAAAGTTCCTTCTCGTAGAAGCCCCCCCACGCCCCTGCGAGGTCCCACTTGGTGCTCTGGCCTTATAAATGGGAAACAGACTCGAAAGGCTAAGCAACCCTCAGCCAACACCCCCCTCAACTCCCCAGCTCACCCGGGTGATCAAAGTTGAACTGGCCCTTCAGGGCTTTGGCCTTCTGCTCTGGAGTGAGGACCCGGTAGAAGCTGTCCTGGCTCAAGATGACCACCTGCTTCTGACGACAGTCCACCTCATTCTGTCCCAGGAGCTGCACGATCTTAGCACAAACAGATGACTGCAAGGAGAGAAGAGAAAACCACGGGGTAAAGCGAAGCCCAGAGTCACCGAGCTGACGCGCACGCCCTGAGCGAGGGCTGTGGGGAGAAGCACCCAGAGGCCAGCACCTGGCCGCCAGACCAGAGGCCACGCAAGGAGGGTGCACCTGCTGAGAGGAGGTCCCTTCCTCCCCTCCCCTAACACAGCTCACAGCGAACTCTCAGGTATCTGCAGTGGAGGCAGAGCGCAGAAGGGAGTCGCTTGGACCTTCTCTTGACCGAAGCTTTTCCAGTAGCCACTAATGACAGGTAACATCTATTCATTTTTTCCTACTTGTGCCCTGGTGTAAATACGAAAAAAAGGCAGCAGAAGGTGTAAAAAGGGCACACTGCTGGTGTGCTGAGGGGTCAAAGGGCCCCTGGGTCATGAAGCAACCATGCACCCACGGGCATCCCTCTATCAACAAGACCAGAAGCCCCCCAGAGCTCAGCTAGTCGGTAGTAAGGCCAAGGCCACGGCTCTCTAACTACTTCTGTGGGTTAAGTTTTGCTCTAGTCCATAGCCAGGGATTTATCACCCTCACAGTTAGGCCGGTGGCCTTTTCACAGACACGTGCCACTACTCGTGGACATGGAGGTAAAAGTGAGCCAGCAGAGAGCCAAGCAGGAGGGACTCCGTTTTAAGTTAAACCTCCATCTTGGGGCTTAAAGGTAAAAGGTAAAATTCCTAAAATGATTTTTAAGAAGAATTTACGGTAAACCGTAAGGCAGCCATAAGGTCACCAATCAAACCACCATATCTTAAGCTAGAAGAACCCTCCCAAGGATCAGGGACCAGTTCCTGTTTTTGCAGGGAGAATCCTGGCCTTGGGGGAGAAAGAGAAACTACACAAATTCTTTTGCGTCAACTAATCTTAAAGAAACATCAAAAAGGGCGGCCCTGATCCCATTTTGGGAAAGCCAGTGAAGTGACAGCGGCTGACCGTGAAGTGACGGTCCCAGAAGCTAAAAGACAGAGACAGTATCATGAAACGATTCATCAATGCCTCCTCCCAAACCCTCACCCTCAGGAGCCACCTTTATAAGCCTTCCGCACAAGCCCCCGAGGGGTGCCGTGTTCCTCTTTCATGCCCACCTCCTTGCAGACAAGCTATCTCAAACAAACGAGTTGAGGGTTCATTTCTGTTAACACCGAAGCCTGGTCTTTTGGGGTCCGGCAGCAGCGACACGGCACACAGACACAGCCTACACCTAAAACCACCTCGGGGCGTCCTAACTACCAGTAGGAAAGCCAGTTCCAAAAGAACTCACACCCGCATGCTCTGTGTTGTGTTGTCAGTCATACGCATACCCACCTGACACTGTGATTTATACTTAGAAATACATATTAGCACTTTGCTGGCACAAAGATCCTAAAACTCATGGAATTTCCTAAGTGAGGAGAGTCATAAAGGTGTCTTTTCTTATGATAATGAGCTGACTTTTGGAAAGCACCCAATGATGGGGGTGGTTGACAAGGGGAACCAAACAGGTGGTTATAGGGTGGGAACTTTCAGTCCCACCCCGCTGACCTCCAGTAGAGGGAGGGGCTGGAGGTTCAATCAACGCCAGAGGCCAATGGTTTAATCAATCTCGCCTGTGTAATGAAGCCTTGGTTACAGAAGGAGGGCCTCTGGAGAGCTTCCAGCTTGTGCGCCCCAAGAACTCTGAAACTCGGCACCTCTTCCTCCACAGAGATGCCCTCTGCATCTCTGCCATTCTGGCTGTTCCTGAGTTGAACCCTATTATAATAAATCAGTAACCTAGTAATAAAATGCTTCTCATGTAATAAAATGTGAGCCGTCTGAGCAAATGAATCAAACTCAAGTAAGGGGGTCACTGAAACCTGCAAATGAATCAAACTCAAGTAAGGGGGTCACTGAAACCTCTAATCTGTAGCCAGTCAGAAGCACAGGTGACAGTGAGGGCTTGGGCTGGAATCTGAACTGGGAAGGCAGCAGAAAGAGGGTGGAGGACTGCCTGCCTGTGCAGGACGGAGCCCTTCACCTGGGGGACTGGACCTCAGCTCCAGGCAGACGGCGTCAGAACTGAGATGTTTTCTGGTGCCTGAGAACTGCTGGCTGGTGTGGGGGGCCCTCCACCCCTACACAGTGGAATTGAGTGCAGAATGGAAAATATTACCACTTTTTTTCTTCATAACATACGCTGTGTAAATGGAAATTAATCTTTTAAATTAATCTTTGTATAAAGTGGGAAAAGAAAATGAGTTATTTGGTAAAGCGTCTATTTTAACTGATGTTTTATTTAGACCCTTGGCCAAGTGCACCATTATAACCACCCTTGTAAGTCCCAAGTGCTACCCTACACAGATGTTTTAACCAAGTTAAATGACCTGTCTACAATCACATAATCCTGGTTCCTTTTTCCCTCAGCCTAAAGGTGGAAGTCCCAAGCTGGAAGTTAGTCCTTTATCATGGAGATAAGCATCACTGCCTGAACAAGCAAAAAAACACCTGCCTGTGGTTTAATCTAGACTTTCCTAGTATTCTCTTCCTCCTGGAACTTGTTAAAAATGGCCCCTACTAAACGAACTGTTGAATCAGGGCAGGAGGGACAGGGGTTCATGATACCATTCCCTCTACTGGCGTGCAGGCTGGATTTTCACACAGCTGGGAGGACGGAGCCCAACAGGAGCTCCACTCTGCAAGGTGAGGGCCTTTTCCTGGTCTAAGGCCCTCCCTTTGTCTCCTTCCCTGTAATCCTTTTCCCTAATCCTGCTTTCTTCAACAGGATGAAAAAGAGCTGCAAGGTGTGTATTTCTTAAGAAAGGAATTAAGTCAGAGTGACTAGTTTGAGAAGGCAGGTGATCGTGAGTGTACAGAATGCTAAAAGTGGGAGAGGGTGCAACTGCTGTAGTGGGCTAAGGCTTAAAATAGTTATAGTCACAAAAAAGACACACGCTGTATGATTCCACTACAATGAGGCATCGTGAGCAGACAAATTCAGAGAGAGAATAGGATGGAGGTTGCCAGGGACTGGGGGAGGGGAACGGGGAGTTGTTTAATAGATTGTTTGGTGTCTGTGCTGAAAGCATTCTCAACAGCGTGAATGCACTTAACACTACTGAAATACACACCTTAAAGGTGATTAAGCGGTTCAATTTTACGCAATGTGTATATTAAAATTAAAAGTAATTTTTATTATAACAAGAGACCCTACTTAATGGGCAGTTTCTATCTAGTTGGGGCACTAGGCTCAGTAGTTTTAAATTATCTCATTTACTTATCAAACGTTATATGACAGAAATTATGATTACTTGCGTACTCCTGACGGTGAAGCCTGCGGTGAAGAGATGGAATGACTTGCCCCAGGCATGTGGCAGTGCAGCCAGGACCCCACCCCGAACAGTCCCCTCCAGAGCTCACCCTCTCCCCACCTGCCCCTTACAAACGGGCAATGCCCCCTGGAACTGGAGCTAAGCTTAGTTTCACACAATGTCTCCATATTTAGTGCAGTGCGTCTGGTCTGTCCCTGCTGCTTTTAGCACATTTCAAATAATTATTTTATTTATAAAATACTTTAAAGTCGGGGGAGTGAGAAAAAGCCAGTGAGGACAGTGGGTTGCTATCCAAATACGAAGTTAAGACCAGGTCTATATGAGGTTATCTTTAGAAAAAAGAAATTCAAAAATCTCATGGGAGTATCAGTAAAGGCAAATGACAATTTCTTCCCTCGTAGGGCATTTTGGAGACACCATCTCTCTTAATTCCATTACAACAAACCTTAGTATCTTTTTTTCCTAATGAGGGTTAGAGAATCAGTCAAGTTAATGGCTTGCTCTGGGTCACAGAGCTGAATCTCAAACTACACGTCTTCTAACTCCAAAGGCACAATTCTCCCTCTTCCAGAACTGAAGCAGCCCTGGCAACAGCCCTAATATTCTCCACAAATATTTCACTTACAGAAAACAATTCTGGGGGAAAGGACGCAGGAAGGGAAATGTGTAGTAATATAATAATACTGTTTTGTGACTGCATCGATAAAGTCCACACTTAGGTTAAATTTCATATCACTAAAGGCAGGCCAGAGATTTGTCTATCAAAAAGAAGCTACAGGCTCACACATACACACACATGCACCTGTTCAAGGTATCTGGAACCTAAATTTGGATTAGGTTCAGGAAAATCAGCTGTGAGAAGCCACTGACTATGGGGAACAAGGAATTCTTTGCAATCACGAGAACATGCCGACATTCGACTTCCTAGTCAGGCCGTGCACCACACAGACGTGCTGGCCTCCTTTCTCACAGACACTTCCGATCTGGGAAGCCCCAGGAGAGGTCGACAGCTAAGCACCAGCCCTTCCAGGTGGCAGTTCCCAGTGGGCCGGCTGCTGAGCCCACACAGTTCCTGTAGGTCTTGCTAGTGGGTTTCAGCCCCGGGCAAATTCACTCTTGATTCGGTGAGACCGAAAAATGACAATGCAATGTTCTTAGGATGAAAGGGTTCAGACCCAACTTTATTCCCAGGGTGGCAGCTCAAGCACTAGAATCCCATCCGCCTCAGAGCCAGTCTGCGTGCAGCAAGCCGGGCTCTGCCTCTGGGCCCCTCTGTCCCCCGTGCTGCCACCGCTCTGGCCTCTGCTCTCCTGCAGCCGTGCAGCCCAGAGCACTGGGCGGAGCTCTTGACAGAGTCAATAACAATGGATTGCCCACATGTGTGTAGTGAGCAAGCCGACCAGGGCCAGGTGAGAATCCTGGCCACTGGAACTTTCATTTTCTCTACACCATAGTGTGGTATAGCAAGTATGGTCCTCACAGGAGGTTGCTCGGACGGCCTAGACACCACCTTACTGGGCCATTTCTAGTGCGTGACTTCCAGGAGCCAATCCTTAAGATCCTCTTGTCCAGCTCCAATACTGCTGAATGAGTGAAACAAAACAGGGCAGCTGAGTTCAGTGGCCTGTCTATTAAGAACCCTCTGTCCCAACTTAACTGCTGAGCACCTGGACAGAGGTGGAG